CACCCATCCACCACCCATCACCCATCCACCGCCCGTCTCCCATCCACCCATCACCCATCCACCACCCATCACCCATCCACCCATCCACCGCCCATCACCCATCCACCCATCCACCACCCATCACCCATCCACCCATTACCCATCCACTCATCACCCATCCACCACCCATCACCCATCCACCGCCCATCACCCATCCACCGCCCATCACCCATCCACCCATCACCCATCCACCGCCCATCACCCATCCACCGCCCATCACCCATCCCTTCGTCCAATACTCCCCGAGTGCCTGCTCATGCGCCAGACAGTACACTCAGGACAGAAAGATGAGAGCCGCACAGCCCCCTCCTCCAGGGAGCCTGCCTCCAACGGGAGACACAGAAGAGAGGTCAGTGCAGGCTGGTGCCAGTGTAGAGGGACTAAGTGTCGGGAAACAGGGAGGAGATGGCACCTGGGAGGCTGCGAAGGGTCAGGTGGAGGCTGGTCCTCTGTGCAGAGGCCCCAGAGGTGGGTGGGACGGGACAGGGTGCTGCAGGGCCCATGAGGCACGGAATTCAGCTGGTGGGGGGTGGAGGCGGGGGCCAGGGAAGGTACCCTGGCTAGTAACACCTGGGCCACGTTCTGAAAGACGGTTGGGATCCACCTGGTGGGAAAGGGGTGGGGGGGCAAGTGGCAGGAGCAGCAGGTGATGACAGCAGGGCCAGAGGTCTGGGGACAGCGCAGTGAGACCTGGGCTTAAACAAGAGAGAGAGAGGCCACCACGGGGCAGTTTGGATTTTGGTGTGGGGGGAGGCGAGCCCGTGCAGGCCCGAGGCAGGGGTGTGACAAGCGAGGCGTTCTGGCAAGGGGCAGCTGGGGTGGCGATGCAGGGGGCAAGGCCTGTGAAGGCTGAGAGACTCAGTAAGGGGGTTCCACAGCAGGGGACAGAGGGTGGGCTAAGTGGACCTGGTCACAGAAGCCCTGGTCTCCGAGGGTTACGGTGCAACTGCAGAAACTTACAGAGACGCCACGGCAGCTGAGCCTCAACAGGATTGGCTTCCCGAGCACACAGCGGGGTCTCCCCACTCACCCCAGGTCTCTCCCACATGCTGGCAGGCTCAGGTCCCTCACCACAGGGGAACCGAGGGGGCAGGTGGCCTCAAGTGCCCCATCACTTCATGCCCTGCCGGTCCTGGGTGCGCCCTGATCCTGTTCTCAGCCCCACCTAACTGCCGGAGTCCCACGTGGCCGCCTGCGAGGCCCAGGTCCCCTCGGACAGCAGCCCAGTCACGTGCAACGAGGGCTAGTCCTGAGACTCAAACTCGACGTGGGCACAGGGCAAGCAGAGCACAGTCTGCTGGGAGCCTGAGGGCTGGCAACTCCTGGGGGTGCCTCCACAATCAGTCCTGCCTGAAGATGTCCTAGGCCCTCGGCCTTTCCCCTGGCCCTCATGGCGAAGCCCTTGGGTTCCACAGAATGTCTTGGAAGGGAGCCTTCAGGTCACCCTGAACGAAACGTCCTGATGGACTCCTCGCCTTGGCACGGATGCTAACTGCTGCTCTCCACGGCCCTGCGGCCAGGCTGCCCTCCCGCGGAGCAGGGCAGGCTCACTGGCTTCCCAGCAGCCCCAAGGGTCACCTTCAAGCGTCCCCATCCTGGGCCTGCTCCATCTGCCATGCCACAGCTGCCAGAAAGATCTCTGTAACCCACAAAGCTGACGCTGCCTCCAGTGCTTAAGCCCCCTGCTCTCCCAGGATAACTCCTAAGCTCCTTAACACGGCGAGGCCGCCTTCAAAGGCTGCCCCACGGCCTCTCCCCTGCGAGCCCACCCTCGCCAGACACGTGAAATACCGGCAGTTCCTGGCCCAGCCTGGCCCCCTCGAGGAGCACTTCCAGCCCTGCTGGCGGCCACGCGAAAGCAGTCCCCGTGCGGCATAAAGGGGCATCTAGAGGTGGCTTTCTTTCTCCTGTGAGCAGCGGGCGCTCTTGCAAAGTGGCCCCACGACTGGAAAAACCCTTTCGAGCACAAACTCTGCTGGAAGGCTGGGCACTCCCCTCCCCCATGCTTCTAATCCCTTCGTGAGAGTCAGTAACTTTAGTTTAGCTTCATGGCGCACTCTCCCGCCAAAACTGTCCATAAGAGCTCCTGGTGCCTTACAGGTTTAAAAAGGTTCCCCAGCCCTACAAACCACAGATTTGCATCTGTTTTCTCCAGAGCAAAAGGCATTCTTTGTTCTGACTGAAACAGAGGGGGTGGGGTGGGGAGAGAAGAAACAGACCAATGTCATGAGGGGGAAGGACTGAACCAGGGAGGTTTCAGGCACAGAGAGCTCCCACTCCCCCCACATTAGCTGAAGTAAATGCAGCTGGGCTCTTCGTAAATAAGTGTATTTAAACGACTCTCTCTTTGGCCAGTCACGTCCACTGAATGCATTAAAAATGCCACCACTGAGCCCAACATGCTCCCCAAGTCTGAGCCCTGGATCTGACAGGGGCTTCCAGAATGCACCCCAGGCTTTCCACTGCCACCTCACTACAAATCTGCGGAGCAGAGTCAGGAAACTTTTTCCTATCAAGAGCTAGATAGCAGATATTTTAGATTTTTGTGGGCCATACGGTCTGTCTTAGCTACTCAAGTCTGCGAAAGCAGTCATGGACCATAGGTATGTGATGGATGTGGCTGGGTCCCGATAAAACTTTATTTACAAAAACAGGCAGCGGGCACAGACGTGGCCCACAGGCCACAGTTTGCCACCCCCGCCTCTGGCGCTTCAGAGCTGATGCTCCAGCTAAGGCAGGAGGAACTGATTCAAGGGCCTGAATGGGTTTCCGCCTTCCCGTCCAGTCCCTCATCCTGGAACAGACACGGGCCGTCCCATTTTTGGTCCAGGGACAGACTCTAGTCGGTCTCCTCCCAGGGCCCCTTCTGCTAGGAGGCGCCCCCTCCGCACCCCGCATCAGTGAGATGCAGCACCCCTGCCCGTGCAGCGAGGGGCTCCCATAGTATCGTGGTCTCATGACACGAGGCCCAGAGAGAACCTCACAGAAACAGAAGACGGCCCAGAGGACCACACGGTTCCCATACCTGCCTGGGGACCCCCCACCAGGGCCACCCAAGAAGGCAGAAGCTCTGACAGCGAACGGGCCTCCTGCACACTGGACGGCTTGGCCCTCTGAGGTTCGCTGTCTTTCCTTTGCCCACCCTGTCCCTGCAAAGCCCCCTCGGGGCCCTTTTCGGGCTCACTGTCCTGTCACTGAGCAGGTGGCCCTGCCCGCAGGGCTTTGGACACTCACGAGAGGCAGCTGCTCGGGGCGTGTGCCCAGGCTGGGCCATCTTCCTCGGGGGGCTGAGGGCTTGACACTGTGCGCTTGTCGGGCGAGGTTTGGCTCTGCAGGAGGCGAGGACGGCTTTGAAGGGCACTCCCAGGCCATGGCACGCTTTGTGGCACACGTGGGATCCAGGCAGATGCTCCACTCTGGTAGAAGATGCATCTACGGTTTGAAAAAGAATAAACGCTCCTTAGGAAAAGCACAGGGGAAAAATCCAGTGAGGAGGGAGGCATTTTTCTAGTGTAAACTCAGGAGGAGATGAAAGAAACTCAGCACCTCCTAGAGTGGCAGATATGTGTAGGTGGTGATGCCTGAGAACCACACGGACGGGCCTGCTCTCTATCACACACGCCCATGTGCACACACAGCAACACACACGCATATGTGCATAGGTACACGTGCGTATGCATGCGGTCACACGCGCACACACGCACTCGTATCCATGTGCACATGGCAACACCTTCGTGCACACTGCCATGTGTGTACACGTGCAAGCATACACATGCACATGTGCAATCACACACAGTGACATACATGAGGTGAGCGTGTGCATGGAGCATCTCTCTAAAGCTATCTCAGGAAACTCCACTGGTCGCTCAGGAGACCTCTGCTGGATGCCATCACTGTCTTCCCTCAGCCAGCGGGGCTGGTGATCACTCCCACAGAGACAGGAATTGGCCGCTGTGTGGAGTCAAGAACAGGCCCTCGTGCTGTCACTTCATCTCTCTGGTATGGTCCTGACTCCGCTTTCCAACAGCGTATTCTAAATGTCAAGATTCCCACATGGGGGCCTGTGCTAACCTAAGTTGACTCACAACGGACAAAGCATTAACAAGACTCAGAATCATAGTCTCCCCTGAAAAGGCTTTAGTGAGCCTTAAATGAGGGTCTGGCCAGTTATCCTCATGATCTGGTGCAGAGTGACTGGGCAGATCACGGTCTCAGAAAGAAGAGACCCCTGTGCAGGAAGGGAATAAGCAAGAAGGACTAAGTGTTGAGTAGGAGAGCAGGGCAGGTGGAAAGACAGGAGGTTAGGCTGGTGCTGGGAGTTCCCATTTTCAGGGGTCAGCCCCTCACAAGTTCTGCAGGGAAGGGGCAGCACCCCACTAGCCAGGCAACCCTGTATTAGAAAGGCACCCTCAGAATGTGGCTCTGGGTGCCTACTTCATAACCTTCTCTGGTCCTTGACTTTGTGCTACCTCTCAACATCTCCCATTTCCAATTTCTTATGTTCCCAACCTTGGCTTTACTTTTAACTTCTATGAAACCGTTTGTTATATGCAGGGTGCTGTGTGCAAGTTACCTGATATCAGACTCCAAATTGCTTAATTCCTTTTTCTGGATTACAATTCTCCAAATTGCTTAATTCCTTTTTTCCTGGGCTCAACACAAGTGTTGCTCGCCACATTCCATCACACTAGTAACTTATTTATCAGCGGCAACGTGGTCCCAGTCCCTGCACCAAGCTGGAGAAACTATACATACCGAGGGACAGGAATTGCGGAAGCAAGTACAGGGCAAACCACAGATACCTGCCCTGACACGTCACCTGGCTGAACTTTGGTATCGCGACACAGACTTGTGGGTTTGTGTATACAGACATTGTCCTGTGGTCCAAAGGAAGTGTCTCTGTGGCAGATGGGAACCCAGAGCACTGGAGAGCGTCTTAACTACATCGCTTCCTTCCAGGTTTTTGGAATTTTTGGTATCAGGCTAAATGCTGATCAAGAGGCTAGTTTTTGCTGGCAGTCTGGGTAGATTTGACATTCCTTTGTCCATTAGGCAAGTCTGGCATATAAGCAGAACATCTGTATTGAAATTTGAGAGATGCTTCCTCCAGGGAGAAAAAAAAACAACAACATTATTAAAGGCAGATTTCTAAGTAGATATTCATGTCTTATGGCAAACCATGGATTCCTCATACTAGCCTAACAGCTAATTCCACACACTAACTAGCCACCCGGACTCACCTGGAGGAGGCGAGCAGGTAAATGCAAATGCACAACACCCTCCCAGGTAGAGCGGGCTTGGGGGAGGCCTGGGTCGCCTAAAGGGCCAACTCTTTCTTTGAGGGTAACTCTTCCTGGGGCCCAGCCTTGGCCGGGCAGGACCCTTTAGCTCCCCACCCATCCGGGAGTGTCCCAACTTCCCTCTCCTCCGCTCCCAAACTGGAGCGACCCGGGTCTCTTCTCTGGTTTGGGATCCCCTTAAGCCCTCCTCCTGTCTCCCGCCTCTTGGGCTCCCATCCATGCTCGTTCCGAGTCTGGGCCCCCAACTGACTCCTTCCGTTCTTTCCTCTCCTCCAATTCCTCACCTCCAGTCGTCACCAGCTTGCATTCTATGTCCCCATTCATCTTTTCTCTTGTCCCGCTCCTCTGCCTCTCGTGGCCCCATGCCCCCTCCTCTGCCTCTCGTGCTCCCATGCACCCCTCCTCCTGTCTCCACCTCCCTCTCTCAGCCCCAAGCCGGCTCAGGCAGCCTTGACAACAGCTCCACGGACAACAGCGAGGGCCCCTTACCCGGGCGTGGCAGGCCTGCGGCGGCCCGGAGGCCCTCGGGCGGCGGGGAAGCGGCCGCCGTCCAGCGTGCGGACGTGGCCGGCACCGGAGCAGCGCGACCGTAAGCTAAGACTGCTCAGGGCAGCCGCCCCAGCTCTGGCCCCTCCCGGACCGCCCCGGAGGTGACGTCACGGGAGGGCGGGTCCTGGCGGGCGGGGCAGCGTCGGCCGAAGCCGGGAGCCGCCCAGCGGCTCCAGGCGCTGCAGGAGGCGAGCCGGAAGCGAGGGGCGTGGCTGTACCCAGGGCCCCGCCCACCGCGGAGGGGTCCAGCTACGTCTGGAGAGCGGCTGGAAGCGGCTATTTCGGGCAGGTCTCTGCCGGAAGTGGTGGTTCCTGGTGCTCGTCTCACAGTCTGTGGACACTTCCCTGTAGCGACAGAGGTACCGGGGCTGGGTGATCTCAGACCTACCCCGACGGCGTGACCCTGCCACATGCCCTCCCTCATCCCTCCGACTTTATGCAGCCGGGGGGGCGGGGGGGCCTGCGCTGGGAGTAAGCCATAGTCGGGATGGCCGCCAGCGTGTTTTGAGTGCTTACTCGTGCCAAGACTTGGCCTTGGTTGGGTGATTTAACTCTGCAATAGCACTGTGACGCGCTTCGCACCCGTTTTACAGATGCTGAAACTGAGGCTCACAGAATGTTTGTTAATTGTGAGATGTGAATAACAGTGGGGCAAAACGGAGTATAGAGGAAAGCGAATGGGACTTGACCTTCATTAGGTATAGGCTTTGGGGGCCTTCCCTGGTGGTCCAGTGGTTAAGAATCTGCCTTCCAATGCAGGGGAACTCGGGTTCGTCCGTGGTGGGGGAACTAAGATCCCACATGACGCAGGGCAACTAAGCTGGCAGGCTCTAGAGTCGGAGCGCCACAACTAGAGAGAAGACGGCTCGCTGCAACGAAGGATTCCTCATGCCACAAGGAAGATCCCGGATACCGCAACCTGACGCAGCCAAATAAATAAATAAATATTTTAAAAAAAAGAAAGCGTGTATTCAAAAGCAACAACAACAAAAAAGAAATAGGCTTTGAGGGGAGGGAGGGGGATGGACTGGGAGTTTGGGGTTGGTAGATGCAAACTATTACATTTAGAATGGATAAACAACAAGGTCCTACTGTAAGCACAGGGAACTATATCCAGTCTCCTGGGATAAACCATAATGGAAAAGAATATTTTAAAAAGTATATATATGTATAACTGAGTCACTTCCCTGTACAGCAGAGATTGGCACGTTGTAAATCAACTATACTTCAATTTAAAATATCAATAAAAAAAGAAAAAAAAGAAATAGGCTTTGTAAGTTACTAGTTTTGTGACCGTATCCCAGTCTGTGTAAGACCTTCTCAAGTTCCCCCAAATCCGAACCAAAGCCTGTCTGTGAAAGACAATCTCAATGGGAATAAACCAAAAGGCTTTATTTTCAGACAGTTTTATAACGTGTCTTGGGTTATCAATGGAAAAAAAAAAAAGTTGCCTGCCCCATCGTAAACAAAGAAGGTTGTAGTCATCAAGCCATCACATTACAGCCCTCCAGTGGGGAGCCCTGAGGGAACTCAGGATAGAAACTGGGTCCACCCCCCCAGCCCCGAACCCCCTCCACCCCTCCACCCCCTGCAATATAGCAGTCTGCTGCTGCAACCACCCCAGACAGTGTGCCCCGAGGGGACTCGGTTGGAATAGCACAAGATACTGGCCCCAGATAGCTAAGGTGCATATCAAAGGAATGATTTCAGTAAGCCTAGTCTCTTGCATCTTCCCATATATAGAAAAGCGCTAAATTCCTTAACTTGAGATATCTGGTTTTCTTTAATTAACAGTAATCTTTTGATGTTCTGACTCCCTGGTCTTTGTTGCTAAAACTCCTAATGTATCCTGGCTCTTCCCTTACCTCTTCGGAGCAGCCATTCAGAGTTATCTGAGATGCTGTGTCCCGGGCTTAAGTCCTCAGTTTTATCTGCCAAATAAAACATAATTCTCAACTTTTAGGTTGTGTGTTTTTTTATGTCAACAGGGTCCTGGGCTAAGAAACTAAACCAGACACAGAAAACCGCGGGTGTGCGGAGACAGGGTCAGATAGCCAGCTCTGAGCCCTGGGAGCACCTGAAACTCCATTTAAAACTGTCACCACCCAGTACCTCATGGTTTCAGGTTGTGTAGGTGAACTTACCCTGCAAAGACAGGTTTGCTGAGACGCAGGCCAGGTAGGAGGGTTTGTGAAGGCAAGATCCTTTTTTTAAAAAAAAAAAAAAATTTATTTATTTGGCTGCTCCAGGTCTTAGGCACGCAGGATCTTTAGCTGCGTCATTCGGACTCCCATTTGCGGCATGCAGGATCCAGTTCCCTCACCAGGGATTGAACCCTGGCCCCCCGCATTGGGAGTATGGAGTCTTAACCGCTGGACCACCAGGGAAGTCCCAAGACAAGATCCTTTGCTTTAAGTTTCCCAAGTAGCTCAGGTCTAACATGAAAAACGCAGCACCTCTGTTCAATTCACAAGTGAAAATACACCTAAACAGCCAGTTGCAGTTCTGTGCTTGCCTTCCTTAAAGTCAGCCTCTGTGATCCTGTGTTTTTATTTCCTCTTTGGTAAAAATCGGAAAAAGTTTTCCCGCTAGGGCTGAAATTACAAAGATAAGATGCAGCCCAGCTTCTCAAGGAGCTCATAGTCTAGAGCAGGGGTGTGCCGACCCTCTGTCTGCTTTTGTAGTAAAGCTTTATTGTAATACAGTTACGCCTCTGTTATGTATTATCTGGCTGCTTTTGCACTGCAAGGGCAGAGTTGAGTCGTTGCAGCAGAGACTGTGTGGCCCACAAAAACCTGAAATATTTACTGCCTGGTCCTCTAGAGAAAATGCTTGCAAGCCCCCAGTCTAGGGGGTTGCTAGTAAATGGATTTCAGAGAACAATGGAAATATCTGGCTGAGATGGTCCAGAATACAGGGAAACTCATTCTCTCATAGGAGAATCTGGCAACTTTCAGTGGATTGGGGTCACCTGGCACCTAGCGTCCACTGAGCACATCTCTGGGAACCGCATAGCTGCGTGTGTGGAGTATTATATGGATGAAAGCAGGCCTGCTGGGCTGCTTCTGATGGCAGCGGATGAATTAAAGACAGAGAAGGATACACTTAAATCCTCAAGTTGTGTCTCAGGACACAGATGCTCTCGGGTGCTTTTTATGCAGAAATAGCTAAATAACAAATCAGCTTGGTCCTCTTAGTTGTTGATTTATAATCTCATTTGAATGTAAGGCCATGCTAGATCCCCCATGTAAAAGGACTCTGGAGTAACACTGCCAGGCTTCAAACCCTGGCTCCTTCACTTTTAGCTGAGTGACAGTGGGCAAGAGGCTTAGCCACTCTGTGCCTCAGTTTATCCTACAGTCAATTCTCATGACTCGTGGTTGTTATGTTTAATAAAGTCGCCGTGAACGCTGACTTAGTGAATAGTGAACCATTGCTCCTAGGGAAGAAAAGACCAATACTTGCCCTCACGCTCTACCCTTTACGGTCATTATTTATTTATTTATTTTTGGCTGCGTCGGGTCTTCGTTGCTGCACGCGGGCTTTCTCTAGTTGCGGAGAATGGGGGCTACTCTTCGTTGCGATGCATAGGCCTCTCATCGCGGTGGCTTCTCTTGTTGCGGAGCACGGGCTCCAGACGTGTGGGCTTCAGTAGTTGTGGCACGTGGGCTCAGTAGTTGTGGCTCACGGGCTCTAGAGCACAGGCTCAGTAGTTCTGACACACGGGCTTAGTTGCTCCACGGCATGTGGGATCTTCCCAGACCAGGGCTCGAACCCACGTCCCCTGCGTTGGCGGGCGGATTCTTAACCACTGCACCACCAGGGAAGCCCCGGTCATTATTTATTCATCGACAGTTCATTTTTACATCCTGAACACAAAACTAAGGACATTGAAATTATGAGAATTTTTAGAATAAAAATGGATAATTGATGAGGACAGGAATATAATTAAATACACATTGGATTGATCCTCCTGACCTGTCACTTATAATGTGCAGAAATATGAATTTGCCTTTCAAATATTTACTATGGATAGCTGGGGAAAAAAAATCTTAGAGATTATGAAGACAGGCTACTATGGATTTATACTGATTTTTTTTTTTCTTTCAGTTTTTTTTTTTTTTTTGCAGTACGCGGGCCTGTCACTGTTGTGTCCTCTCCCATTGCGGAGCACAGGCTCCGGATGCGCAGGCTCAGCGGCCATGGCTCACGGGCCCAGCCGCTCCGCGGCATGTGGGATCTTCCCGGACCGGGGCACCAACCCGTGTCCCCTGCATCGGCAGGCAGACTCTCAACCACTGCGCCACCAGGGAAGCCCTCTTTCAGTTTTTTAAAAATCACATTTTAAATTTCAACACATGTTTAGTTAATTTAGTAGAATTATTCAAAGGTATTTTGTGTACTTTAAAAATCTTTTTATTGAGGATTATTATATGCACAGAAAAGTGTACATACAGGTTTATAGCTTGATGAACTTTCACCAACTGAACCCCCTGTGTAATCAGTCAGATAAGAAAGGGCAGTACTAGGACAGCCTTGTCCTCCTTCCCGGCCCAAAACAAAAATACCAAGTATCTACAAAGATTCAGAGCAGTTTGAATTCTTACACATTGCTGATGGGAATGCAAAATGGTAGAGCCATTTTGGAAAACAGTTTGACAGTCTCTTATAAAGTTAAATATACACTTGTTATATGACACAGCAATCCCACTCCTAGGTATTCACCCAAGGGAAATGAAAACGTGTTCATACAAAGACCTGTATGAAAACGTCTGTAGCAACTTTATTCATAATTGCCAAAGGCTGGAAGCACCCAAATGAGTCAGTGGGTGAATGGATATATAAATTGTGTTATATCTATACTTAACTATAAAAAAGCACGAATTACTGATACATTCACCAACACCGATGAATCACAAAAGCATTATGCTAAGAGAAAGAAGCCACACAGAAGAGACAGACGCTACTACGGCCGGCCCAGCATGTCCCAGTGCCCTCAGTCTCCAACTGACTCTGTGGGCTGGTCTTAAAGCAAATCCTGTTTGGTGGGCTGCCA